CGGCTAACCGTATAACCCTGGGCCAGTCTATTTGATGTCGACCAGTTTGATTTTCAGACTCGAAAATTTCACGGATTGCGAAGAGTGCTTGCCACATGCAACAATGGGGGAACTGGAGTAATAACAAACTATCTCACTTATCCTAACATGATACCAGGCGTTCGAATGCGTATGAGTTGCCTAAAATAAATAAAGGCGCAGATCCACTTACGATTATTGTGAATAATGAGCGTTTCGTTATGCATAAAACGTCGCGATTTATTCATTACCAATTTAAGGCTATGGTCATTTTCAGAAAGAATCCTCATGAATTTATTTAATAGCTGAACAGAGAATAGAATGCGGAGATTAGTATGTAAATTTTTGCGTAGAATTTTTGTATATTAATATTTTCTTAAGTGGGGTTATATAGTTTAGGATTTACATCGAATCGATACCCAACGATTTTAATAAGTATAAATTTATGTAGGAGTTAATAATGATTCTGACAAATTTTGTCATGGGCTGTGCTTTATTTTTATGGTATTTATAAAAACAAGCACGACATTTTATCTGCTATTTACATATATATATTTATTTTTATTTTTTTTCTCCATTGCATGCTTCTAGATATTCTAATTATCGACTTGTATCAATCCTTCCCTATTTTACCTTTCTCAGCTCTCCTGGCCTCGGTGGTCCAATGGCACTCAGTAGCAGTTTCGGAGGCGGATTAGGCCCACTAATAAGCAGCATTAGTTCGAGTCACGGCGTCTCCGCTGTCACCTCTCACATTCTGCCTGGTGCAATCTCATCACACTATCCACATGGACATCACCACAGCCAACTACATAATCACCACCACCATCTACACAACCATCATATTGGGCATCCCCCACATATTTCTTGCTATCCTGGTCTGCCTGGTTCCCAACAAAAGCCTTTTCTTTCAGCTGAGGACTTTGAGGATATGGATATCTCATCTCTCTCTTCATGTATGGGTGCAGACCCGAATGGCTGCTCTGTCGGTACGAGCCATGTTGGGCAAAGTGGCACTTCGTCCGCGGGTATTCCTGTCCCTGCCCAACCCTCGGCTGGACATTACATGGGGCGAAAGACTATCGGCAAATCACCAACTTCTGGATATAGTTGTCTGACTACTGTTAAACAACCTGTAAGTCTTCTTAGTGTTGACGATGAAATTGCAGCAGTTGCGCAGACCCTCGCTGACGCCGCTCTCCGGATTTCGTCTCCTCGAGAAGAGACGTTCAGACCAGATAACTCAGTTCTCGATCCTGCGGATATTCCATCTAGCTCCGATTCTGCTTCTGTTCAATCAGCCAATAATCGGCATACGACACTTTCTGATCATACTTCGGCTGCCTCAGTAACTGTCCCAATCGTCAAAGGCACGACTATTGCCAAGTCTTCTGTGTCCTCTGCATCAGCTCTCTCAAGTTGTGGCCCTTCAGTTGCAACTTCAGGCTCGCTCATGCCAGGTTTCTACACTTGCCTTTCAACCGAAGATGCAGATCCTGCTATCGTAATATCGGCAGCTTCTGGCTCCTGCAAACAGTTACAGCATTCCAATACTGTTTCACAACACATCGATCCTAATAGCCAGGCTGCAACTTCCCAGACACCATCCTCTCTTTGCTACCAATCCGCTGCCCCATTTCCTATCATAGGAAAGCGCTCATAGCTGCATGTGACGTTGATATTTGTTTAATGGATAGTTATCAGGACATTCGCCTGACGCGTATAAGTCACTTGATCTTGGTTACTATTTTTCATATCCATTACTGGCTTATCTCTTTTCCCTACTCTCTTCATATATATATCTATATGTACTAGTTTTCTTTTTTGCTTTATCTTAAGCTTTTCCTCTGTTTCTTTCCATAATATATACCACATACTTGGCCTATTTTTCTTCGTTTCATTATTAACTTCAGGGTCAAAGGTTCTTGTCACCTTCTCAACACAGTTTCTGTGATTTGTGTGTTTCATGCCTTGTACAGCTCTAAGTAACTAAAATCCACTTCTATAAAACCATTCTATCTGCTATTATCCCTTTCCATTACATCCGGCTTTCCTCATGATTAATCTATCCGTTTATACATTCACTCTTGGTATCAATTTGTCGCTTAGATCTACTCATAAAATGCGCTTTATTAGTTTAAGACCTTATACAATTCATTTATAGATATTACTTACCAATTGCCTATAAATCTCTATCAGAATTTAATATGCTTCATTGTATAAGCTTTTCCTTATTGTCTTGATTTTTTCTTTTGCCTGCTCTTCGGCTTATATTGCCTCATTACGATTTGTGATTTTTACTGCCTCTTCAAATTTTTAGCGTCAAATTTGACCCTTGAATCATGCTATCTAGCTCTTATCACATTTCCCCCTTAGCTATAATTCATTTTGTAACCTTTTCTATCCCGATGAATTAAACATGGTGCACATTGAACAAATCGGTAGCTGAACCGGATCCGGACAAAAGGTACAACTGGTGTTCCCATCTTATCTCGCGACTTTTTTCATATTTCTTTTGGCCGTGTCATGACGCATACCTCACTTCATTTTGTTCTTGTAGCTATTTCGCTTTCCTTCTCCATTCCTATCTGAGAGCACTTATTGAATTTCTCAGGTGACATCTGGCTTCCTAACATTTGTGCTTTTTTGGTTGAGGGAGAATTTACTTATTATCACCTTATGAATGATCTCAAGTGCGCAAATGTACTATGAGTAAGCACTTTCTGTGCCTGACCTTCATGAATAGAGTCATCGATTCTGTCATTAATAGATTTGATTATTCCGCATATCTGTATATAACTATATATATATATATATATATATATATATATATATATAT